AACGCATCTACACACACACACACACACACACACACACACACACACACACACACACACACACACACAAACACACTCACACACTGACAATGTAACGACGAAAAAAAGACAGTCTCCTAAATTCAATTATCCTGCTCTTCTGTACCCGCACAGCTCATATCATACAGTGCTTCTTTCCTTAGTATATATACTGTATACGTGCATCTTCTTCAGCTGTGCACTCTGAGCGCGTGTACGTATGTAGTGGCAGACCTATGGGAGAGATGGGAGATGACCCGCCCGTGGTGAGCCGTATTTGTATTAAAAGTCAGTAAAACTCAGTCTTTGCTCAGAAAATGCACCATTTTAGTGAATTTTGGCCACACTTTCACAAATCTTCTTTAATTTCAACATTTTCAAACCCCCCCGTCAAAATTGTTTAAATCCGCCACTGTATGTATGCATATTTAACGGAAAAATAATTTATTCAAATTATATTTTATTAAAAATCCCATTTTTTGGTTGGGGTCACGATCCACTGGAATGCAGTTTAAAATGTACTGATACTTCATTTAATATAGTAACAGTTTTTTGAGAGTTGAATGGTTTGATAGAAACTTATAATGATAATAATATCTGACATAACATTTGAAAATGAATGAACATTTTTACTAGAAGGTTAAATGAGAATTTAATGATTCTATTTTAAAATCTTCGGACTTTAAATCAGATTATATTGAACAATTAACTATGAAAATAACGATTTCTGAACAAAAAAATAAATTTTATTCGTTCATTTTTAACACGTCTATCAATGAATAAATCAATGAATTGGCAACAAAATGCACTAGTCTTTCTTTTCTCCCTCACACACACACACACACACACACACACACACACACACACACACACACACACACACACACACACACACACACACACACACACACACACACACACACATGTACTACAACGTTAACAAGTTGATAATTAACTAATGACTTCAAGTAATCTAATATTGACATTGAGTATTTAGAACGTATTATTACTCATGACGAAAAGATATAAGTGTCATTCAAGTTTCTGAGTAGTAATAACACACTAACACGCACACGAAGAAGCACACACACATCACGCACGCACGCACACATACCCAACAGAAAACAGTATAGCGAAAGATAAAAGTAACCAAACTTAATACTACATAATTACTGTACTGCATCAATTACTAATCACTAACACTAATCACTACTACATTCATATTTTTTTACAAATCTTAATCATCTGACAGAGAGGTCTGACTAACAAAACACACACACACACACACACACACACACACACACGCACAATGCACTAGACAGGCAGGGATCTTCTTGCATTTGAAGCCAGTTAGTTAACCATTACGCCGTCTAGCCAGCCATACGTATAATTTACATTACCCATGCTACATACACATACCAAACCATACTTTAAACAGTAATTGATACGCCAAGAAATTGAAAATAATAAAACCGGGATAGTAAAATTAATTGTTCTTAACAATATTATTAAAATAAAAAATACATATATATAATTCTTTTAACCGATCAAATCTCATTTAACAAAAGAAAAATATTTTGAATTTTTTCTGGAGGAACAGAACCAAAAAAACTTTTTATTCCTTCTTCCAACTTTCGATTCTAAACCTAAAAAAGCTACCCATCATTTTTTCCAAATTTCGATTCTAAACCTAAAAAAAACTCTCCATTATTTCTTCCAACTTTCGATTCTATCAATACCCCTCTGTGTAACACTATCTCCCTGTTTTCTAAGGAAGAAGCCACTCGACACGGAGAGCCCTAGAGCCACGAAAGTAGCGATCACCATAATGGCACTCGACTTCACTCTGAACATGTCGTGAGCTTTTTTCATCTGTGTCTGACTGTTATTTTCAATACTATTTGTAATACATTTCACAAAAAAATAATCTGGTGCACCAATTTAGAAGTAAACTATTATTACCATTTGAGTATTATTAAATATTAATATTAATAAATTAGTATTGCTAAGTAAGAGTTAAGAAAAGAAGAGAAAAACTGATTGTGAATTGTATTTTTCACTAATCATTCATTGGAAATAAAAAAAAACAGCATGAAAAATATATGTAATCATAAAAAGAGAAAATTAATAAAAAAATAAGAAAAAGCAATAATAATAATAATTATAAATGATTTCCTGACCTGACTTGCTCGGGTACTTGCTCTATAGACGGATAGAATTTGGTCCAAACTAAAATTTTCTTCTGAAAACTGGATGGTGTAACACTGTCTGCTAAAAAAAAAGTTGAAAAAATTTAACACCCCCCCGCCTTATAATTTTAAATAAAATTAATATTTTATTTATAATATAATTATTTTCCTAAAATCATTTCATTAAAAACGGACACCAAACAAATAATTTATCAACACGTAAACAGAATAACCATAACTTACTGTATCTGGTGGCTGAAAACATGAAAGTGGCTTTTTTAATGTTGTTGAAGTAGTTCAGAGCTGACCTTTGAAGAATGCTCCTTACTGCAAGAGAGACCATCTTCATCTTTTAAATGAAATTATATATTAATTATTATTACATATAACTATTAATTAATTATTATAAAATAAACAAATGTTTGTTATAAATATCCAAGCTAGCTAGAAACAGGAAAATTTGATCAAATAGATGAAATGAACTCGGCTACATACAAATCAAAATTATTTAATTTAACTGCTAACAACTGGAAGTTAACAAGGAGAGCATCAACTCATTTATATTGAAAACAGAAATGAACTAGATGATATGGAATGAACATTTAACACTCCCAAAAGAACATATAGGCACACATAAAGACGGACCACAAACACTCATACACACATACTCAATTAAACACACGCACACATACATACATACATACATACATAAAATATATAATACAATTATGTATGTATGCAGACAGCTAAGTGCTAGTCTAGGTACCAAAACTAAACCCTGAATAATTCATCCATTCACTGAACAAACATGCATGCATGCACTCAAACATGTTGGCAGCATACAAGACACCAGACTAACATCAGTATGTATGCAATACACACACATACAAACAAGCTTACAGCCAGACACACAGACAAACTAAACCACTGAATGAATGTAAATGTTATGTACTGAAATGAACTTTCTTACAGTGTAGTGTAGTAGAACCTAGATTTTATAGACAAATACAGACAAAACATCAGCAATACAAAACACACTTAACTAATATATGCTTATTAAGTATGGCCAGTTCGCCATCACTTTCTGACATTATCATTATGTAAAAAAATTATTTTATTTTTTGTTGAGTTTTTAATCTTTTTCTGTCAATGGATCAAAATGACATGAAAAATCACCAAAAAATACTTGTAAAATACCTTCTAATATCAGAATTCTTGGTCAATCGTATGTTCTTTCACTAAACTATCGAAAACTCTCGCGAATTATAATATTTATTCAACAAAATAACCAAAACTTGGAACAAAAACTAGGTAAAATAGGTTAAAAATATGGTGAACAAAAAGTGAACTCCGTTACAACACTGTCATTAATTTTTCAGTAGCCCTTGTAATGCCAAGGTTGTAGAATAATTTGAGAAAAACTCATTTTAAAGAAATAAATAACATTTAAGTAAAATTTCTTATAAACAATCTAAACGTCACTTAATTTACATTTATATAATTTAACCATTTGAGCCGCCAAATTTGTCCAATTTTTTATATATTTGATAAAATGACATCATGTTTATATATAGAATCTAGTTAGTATATTTGAGGCATACAAACAAGTCATCATAACGATGATGTTTCAATCTTCGTTTTCAATAATTCTAATAATAATATACAAATAATTTTCTTCAAAATTTGAACTTCATCCTTAACCACGAGCCTTACTTTTCATTTTTACTAAATCAAATCATCAAAATGTAAAAAAGACAAATTTGAGATAGATTTTTGTAAGTTTTAATACATTTTATCAAGACAAAACTGCACCAAGCATCATTCAACTTTTGCACTTTTTTTTCTGAGCTACACACGCACTTCAAAAAGAATTAACACCAATATTGAAATTCTATAATTTTCTGTAAAATATTATGAAATAATAATTACAAATTATTTCTTGACTGGAGCCTCTTCCACGGCTTTCTTCCCTCCAAACATTTTCTTCAATGCAAACAAACCAAACAGGACTCCATATGTGGTGACCACATACTTTGAAAATAATTGTGATTAAATAATAAATAATTTAAAAAATATTTATAAAAGATAATGCAAAAAAGAAAAACAGATTTGCATTAGAAGGAAAAAAGAAATACACACACACACACACACACACACACACACACCCACATATATATATATATATATATACAACTAACTAACATTAAACCTTCCTCTGAGGGTATAGGAATTGTAGTATTTTCTCCAGCCTTTAAAATTATAGTTGGGGTCATTTTCAGACACGAAACCACCCGACATGATTGATTGGTTAGTTGGATGTGTCGTCTGTTAGTTTTTAAAATCTGAAAAATATATTTAATTAGAATGATAATTATGAAAATAAATGATGAAAAAATAATAAAAATATGAATAAATAGAATCAATGATATTGATATCATTGATATGATAAAGAAGATAGACTATAATTTATAATATTTACTATGATATAATTAATATACAATTTAATGAATTTATACATCTCATACCTACACTTTTCACTTAAAAATCACAGGTGATTGTTTAAAAAAACTACTTTGCTTGCTACTGAGTTGAAATGTTTTGAGGATGTTTTTCATTTAGAATATGCATCTTTTTCCCCATAGCTATCCATAGCTAGCTATAACTTTTGTCATAGTATCATAGTATCATAGTCTATTCTATACCTTTTATAACTACTATTACTATGAGATAAAAATTTTTGTCCCTGATGGTTGGTCCCTAGTTTATATGTGGACAATTGGAATACTATACAACACTTATATTGTATACTATAGTATAGAATTATTATTATCATTTTATTTTATTATTATATATTTATTAATAATATTAATATATAACAAAATAATATATTATATAAAAATCGAAAATGTCATTCATACAACATGTCATACTACTACAACTACTCCAAAAATGTATTTATCTTGTTTTGAGTTGGGCGATAACATAATATACAATAAATTTCAAGTCAAACGGGCGGAAAATAGCGAATAAATAAACATAATTAGCAAAAAATTACTTTAAAAAGTTCACACTAAATACTAAATAATATTTATAACACACAACATTTTTAAACATATAAAACAAACGGTAACCTTGGACGAAATTGAAAAAAATAAAAACCAACGAACTTTTACTTTTGTAAATTTACCCAAAGACGTTTTACAACAATCATTTTTTTTATAAGATAATAATAAAAATAAATATAATAATAAAATGCAAGTTTAATTTAATATAAATAAGATGTATTCTTTATAAGGTATTCTTTATATATACTAATAAAAAATTCTACATTATGGGCTTTAATATTATATCAATATTATATGAATAAGTAGTACTCTGGCATATCTAGGAGGCAGTGTTGTTATTAAATGTCAGTAAAACTGTTTTTTCAACAACAATATTTATCATTTTTAGTTTTTAGACCCGAAAAGTTATCATTGTGAATATCTTGGGTATGTGGTGCTGGTATAGTGTTAATGGAAACCTCGAGTTTTTTATATATAGTGTCTAGGATAAACTGAAAAGTTATCATTATGTATAACTGTACTTGCGCTATATTTCGATTTTTTGGAAATTGGCTTTGATATGGTAAATTAAGCTGGTAGTTTTTTTTTAATAGATTCATGCAGAATCTAAGATGACCAAGGCGAGACTATGACCTCCATTTGTGAACAATATTCTTATTAAAATTCAGTAAAATTTAGTTTTTAGTCAAAAATTGACGAGATAAACCCCGAAAACGATCGCTAGTCTAATTTTAGCCACACTAGTACCAATTTGGAAACTTTCTTGGCCCCCCCCAATCAAATTTCAAACGTTAAGTTTCTTTAAAACTTCGGCACACTCGATAAAGTTGTCTAAATTGAAATATGAAGTTTTTCGTTTTTATCTGTTTGTTAGAATGACTGATTGACTGATTGACTGATTGATTGATTGATTGGTTGGTTGGTTGATTGATTGATTGATTGATTGATTGATTGATTGATTGATTGATTGATTGATTGATTGATTGATTGATTGATTGATTGATTGACAAACACTGGTCTTACGCACAATCGTACAAGCAAAAGTAATAATAATAATAATAATAATAATAATAATAATAATATAATATTAATAATAATAACATCAATAACACATTGCGACGTTTATTTTATATTTTGATTGATTTGATTTGATTGATAGCCGGATGGTAGCAGAGGAACAAGACGAGAAATAAAAACAATTTTCAATAAATATAATGATAATAATAACAAGTTATAACCGTAATCAGAAAAACAGAACGTAAACAATTTTTTCTGCCTTCTCCGCATCTTCTTTCTTTATTTCATCATCATCATCATCATCATCATCATCATCATCATCATCATCATCATCATCATCATCATCACCATCACAATCATCATCATAATCGTCATTCTCATGGCTGTCGTCAATTTCATCATTATCATCATCGTTCTGCTTACGATCATCTTTATCTTCTACCATTCACCATCATCATCGTCATTTTCATCATCGTCATCGTCGCAAAAATATTTGTAAACAGAGTATGTTATTTTTGGACCAAAACACCCACTGATTATTTGGCACCGCCCACGTACTTCCGGTTTAAGCGTGACGTCACGAAATTATGCGCATGAGCACGCGTCGGAAGGTAGGAAGGTAGGCAGGCAGCTGATGCTATGTTGATGATGGCAATGTATGTATGTATGTATTCATGTATGTTTGTTTGTTTGTATGTATGTATGTTTGTATGTATGTATGTTTGTATGCATACATGTATGTATGCATGTATGCGCGTTTATACACATTTGTGAGTCTATCTAGACATTTTGTACGCTTGTATGTATGTACGTATGTATGGATGTATATGTGTGCATGTATGCTTGCTTATTTGGGTATGTATGTGTGTATGTGTATGTATGCTTGCATATTTGTATGCTCGTTTATACACATTTGTGAGTCTATCTATACATTTTGTACCCATTTTTTGTATTTATGTTTCTGTGTAAGCATATAATAAAGTAAGAATGTATGTGCATGTGTATATGTGTGTTTATTTATACAACATATGTTTATATTTGTGTGCGTGTGTGTGCGTTTGTACTGTTTGTACTGCTCTGTTTTGATTGATTTGTATCTTATACGCTGTTGCTTTCTCTCTCTCTCGCTCTCTCTCTCTCTCTCGCTCTCTCTCTCTATTGCTCTATCTCAGTCTTTCTCTCGCTATTTTAAATAGCTCTTCATCATTATTTATCATGACCATTCTCTCTATCTCTCACTCTTTTTTCCCATCTTTCTCTCTCTCTCTCTCTCTCTCTCTCTCTCTCTCTCTCTCTCTCTATCTTTTCTCTCTCTCTCTCGCTCAAACATTTTTTTCTTGTCCCTTCACTTTACGTAAACAATATGTAAACAATATATATATATTATATGTATGTATATACATACACATACATATATACATAAATTATGCAAATGATTATGCGAAGGATATAAATAAATCAGCTGGTATTTCCACATTTAGATAGGCTGGGGAAAGTAAAGGACCTTGCTTCTAAGCAATACTATATATATATATATATATATATATATATATATATATATATATATATATATATATATATATATAGTTTTTAAGAACTTTTCTTAAAAACTGTATCGAATATGGTCTAAATTCTAATATATATATATATATATATATATATATATATATATATATATATATATATATGTGTGTGTGTGTGTGTGCGTGCGTGCGTGTGTGTGTGTGTGTCCATATACACGTACGCTGAATGCTAATATAAACGATGACATAAGGCGACGGCGGTAGAACTATCCAAATCCGAGAAATTATGATACGATGAAAGGTAGAATATTTTTTCAACTTTTAATCACTAGATCATTATAATTACGTAAATTATGACTATAATTTGTTATAATTATTCATAATAAAGTGCTTTATGTGCTGGTTTTACTCGGTTGGTTGCGAGATTGTAGGGGATTTAACGCTGAAAAAAGTGTTTTTCCTAACATATGGCCAGGATTTGAACGGTGCAGAGGCCATTTTTAAGCAGAAATGATAGTATGCTATTGATGGTTTTATCCGAGTGAATGGAATCTGAATCAAATTGTGAGTTTTGCTAAATATTAATACAATTATTTTTAGTAGTAATTGATTTTTATTACTGATAAACGTTTATTTGTTGGTCTTTCGTTCGAATTTTAAGCCATATAGCTAGCATTCGCACAGAGCTTAGCCTTTCTGTAATGTGTTAAAGGCAATATAAAACTGCTCATAATAATAAAATTACTTATATATTTCTATACTTATTTATTTTGTTATTTATTTATTTATTTATTTATTCAACATTTTAATGCTATTCGATTAACTTGTTTTAAAGGTATAGCATATTATTATTATTATCATCATCATCATCATAAGTACGTTGAAAGTTTATTATAATTGCTTATCATTGATATTATTATAATTACAATAGATATTATTATTATTTTCATATTATAATTATCTAAATTTTAATTGCGTTTATCTACAAACCAATTATAAACCTAACTGCCTTGCTATCGTTAATAATATTAATATATATAATTATAATAATAAAAAAAATGATAATAAGAATAATTATAATAATAATAATAATAATTATTATTATTATTGTTTGTTATCACTTGATATAATTTGAAAAAATGTTAATTGAGGGGCGTCGTTTCCATCCTTTGTTTTGCCATCCGACAAATATTTGAAAATAATTGTCATTATCAGTTATTATCTTATTATAAAAATTATTATGAATAATAGTAGTAATGGTAATAGTAGTGGTAGCAGCAGCAGCAGCAGCAGCAGTAGTAGTAGTAGTATCACATTTTTAATCGTGGTAGTTGTATTATTAGCATTATGCAGCCATCATCATTATCTCGATTTTTTTAGCCATCAGCAAACTTATAATCCTCATCATCCTCATCATCATCACCAACCAACACCAACAACATCATCTTCTTCTTCATCATCATTCCTATCATCATCATCGTCGTCGTCATCGTCATAACTGTAACCATAGTTAACATCTGTCAGATATTCGTTGAAAATTTTCAAGCATATATTTATGTGTACTAATATGTGTGTGTGAGTGTGTGTGTGAGTGTGTGTTTGTGTGTGTTTGTGTGTGTGAGTGTGGTGTGCGTGTGTGAGTAGCGTCTCCTACAAACGTTCAAATATATTATTATACTATCAGACTTTCTTGTGGTGTGAAGTGCAAAATTTGAGGTGTGACGAAATAGTTTCATGTAAACCATATCGTATCGGCTGCAACTTTCTCTTTTCTAAATATTATTATTGTGGGTAATTTTTTATTAATGGTTTATTCGGCGAACAGAACACCTAACTGCTAGCTTGTATAGTTTCCCATCAAAAATGCCCTTGACATAATAATCAACACCGTTTGTCACTCCTAGCAACTCCATTAAAAATACCTAAACACATGTTAAAGTCATTGTTGAAAATTTGCACTCCGAATGCACCGTTCTACAGCCCCAATGGGAAACTATACAAGCAGATAGACAGAGTAGCCATGGGCTCACCTCTAGCTGTTCTTTTTGCCAACTTCTATATTGGTCATACGGAAGAATCAACTTTTCAAGATAATCCTCATCTCAAACTTCACATATATGCAGGATACGTTGATGTCTTTATATCATATGAAGATCCTAATAAAGTTAATAAACTACTCACTGCTCTCAACAAATCCAAAGTAAATTTCACCATCGAGCACGAGAATGATGAATCCCCACTCTTTCTTGATGGCTTTGTCACCCGCAATGAACATAACTTCGAAACTGCAGTCTACGTAAAACTACAAATAAAGGCATTCGCTTCAATGGAAAAAACGAATGCACTTAGCAATTTAAAATCAGTACAACAAGAACATTCACTCATCGACAACCGAAAAACGTGATGCGGTATTGAAAAAAGTTACAAATCTCTTGGTGCACAGTGGATACTGCACAACAATGACTGAGAATATAATTAAAAATAAATTACAACAACTTAACAGCCCACAGCACAATAATCCCAAAACACTGACATTATCTTTTATTGTAAGGATCATATGAACACCGACTACAAAACGAACGAATCCGTCCTAAAACAAATCATTATAAAAATATCAAACCGACTAACCCTTCCGACAAAATAGAACTACCAATTTTTATAGAACAAGTACAACACGCAATCAATTAAAATTAAAACAAATTGTTTGAAAAAAAAATCAATTGAGCAGGGCTTAACGATCCAAGGTAATAATTAATTTTCAATTGCGCGGACTATAACATCAGCTGTTGCTTCTTACTTTTTTTCTTACTTCTACTTATTTCTCTCTCTCTCTCTCTCTCTTTCCTCTCTTTTCTTATTTTGTTCTTTTTCGTTTTTCTCTCTGCTTTTCTCTATGCGTTTCTGCTTTTTTCTCCATTTTTATCTTTCTTTCAATCTATCTCTACTTTTGATATATTTTTTAATTATTCATAGTAAAAACTTTTTACTATTTGACCGCAGTAACTTTTAGTTTTCATTTTCAGAAATAATTAACAGAGCCAACATACATCAATGATGTCATCTGTTGATGTTGAAACTGCTGCTGATAACAACAACAATAACAACAACAACAACAACATTGATGACAACAACAGCACTGAAAATGACATCAACGTTAACAATACTAACCATGTAAACAACAATTTCAGCAACAAGGAAGATGATGAAAACCACAACAACACTGAAAATTGCATCAAAACCCCTGACAACAACAATAACAACATCGACAATAATAATAACTTTGACACCGATAGTATTAATGACATCAACAGCAACAACAACATTAACATAAATAATAATAATAACTTTTCAAATACTACTGCTATAAAAACAAAAGCTTCTAACGAAATAATTTTTTTTCATACCTATCCTACAAATGCTACTAGTACTATTACTACTGCTGCTACTACTACTACCACTACTACTGCTATTACTACTACTACTGCTGCTGCTACTACTACTACTTTTTCTGCAGTAACTGCAGTTGCTGCAGTTACTGCTACAACTGCTGCTATAAGGGCTACGACTGCTACTGCTACTAACTCTTCGACTGATGGCGTTGCTTCTACTACTACTGCTTATAAAAATGATGGTGATAATGATGATGATAATGGTGATGACGCTGACGCTGACGATGACGATGATGATGACGTTTTTCTTGAAAATCCAAAGACACCAGATCAGATCAAAGAATCAACAAAACCATACGACCAATCTGCTTCCAAAAAACCAGAAGTATCACTATCAAAAAAACCATTAGTATCATTATCACTACAGCCATTGTCGTTATCATCATCACGACCGCCGTCATCATCATCATCATCATCAAAAAAATTGACCCTGCAATCATTATCGTTATCGCAGACAATAACAACTTCTACTACAACGACTACTACTACTACTACTACAAATTCTGCTGGTGTCGCTACTACTTCAACTGCTGCTGCTATTATTACTGCAGCACCATCATTATCATCATCATCATCGTCGTCAACATCATCATCTAAAGCATCGTTATCCCTATTACCAGAGCCATTATCATTGCCATCAGCAACAACAACAATAACATTAGCAACAACAACAGCAGAATTCTCATCAACAGCAACAACAAATACATCATCATCATCATCATCAAAAACAACAGCAGATACATCATCATCTTCAACAACAAATACATTATCAACAACAACAACAACAAATACATCATCATCAGCAGCAGCAACAACAACAACATCCGCAACAGCAACAACAGTAACAGCCCCAAGAAAATTAATTTTTGAAAAGATAAACATCGCCAATTACAACATAGATGAAATTATCAATAACAACAACGACAGCAGCAGCAGCAACAACAACAACAACAATAATAATAATAATAATGATAATAATGACAATAGTGATGATGATAATGATTACGAAGACGACGATGATGATAAATATGACAATAGAAACAAAAACATTTTTATTATCGTTGATAACGATACATCTAACGACAACGACATTTGTGTCGCTACTACTACTATTACTACTACTACTACTACTGCTGCTGCTGCCACCACTACTACTACTGCTGCTACCACTACTATTACTACTACTGCTACAACTGCTGCCACTACTACTACTACTACTGCTACTGCTGCTGCCACTACTACTACTACTGCTACAACTGCCACTACTACTACTACAACTACTACTACTAATAATAATAATGATAATAATAATAATGATAATAATAAAACTAATATTGATACTTGGAAATCTATATCTAAAAATATTGATGACGATGATGATGATGACGACGACGACGACGAAAATAATAATAATAATAATAATTATAAAGCCGATGATGATGAAGATGATGATGATGTCAAAACTAACACCACTTCTGGACAAACAATAGTTGACAAAGATGTTGTTACTAAAAGTAAAGACGACGATGACGACGATGATAATGACGATGGAAATTATGGTAATGATGGCGGATTTGATGATGATAATGATGAAGACGATGACGGTGGCGCTGATGATAATGATGGCGAGAGTTCAGAGATATGTTCTTCTAAGAATAAAAGCGAGTCGAAAATTCGAAGGAATTCAAATTCGAATGAGAGAAATATAAATTTACTTGACGACAACCACAACGGCATTGATAATGACGTAGACGATGACGATGACAATCAACAGACACAACAACATCAGCAGCAGCAGCAGCAACAACAACAACAACAGCAGCGACAAAGATGTCAGATACAGTTAAAAAGTCTTTGCCATACCGAAAACTTACAACAACAATATCAACAACATCAACAGCAACAATATAAACAACAACAACAACATCAACAACAACAAACAAATCATCGCCGTCATCAATTTTTCATTCTGCAACAACCACACCACCACCACCAACAACAACAACAACAACAAAATCATTACCATCACCATCAACAAAATCATTATCAAACCCACCACCAACAACAACAACAACAATCACATTATCATCATCACCAACAGCAACAGCATCATCATCATCAACACCAGCAGCATCATCATCATCATCACCACCGTAGCGAGTCATCAGGAAGTGAATTCAAGTTCATCACGGATGGAAAAAACTCCCTGGAACTGGCAGACGACATGTTTGTCACTGTTGGCAAATCCCGTGATCCGAGGTTTTCCGACTCGTCATCGTCGTCGCCGTCGCTCAGCAGGAGAGTGCAGAAGATTAAGAACGTTCGCGAACGTCCTAGAACATTCCAGGAAGACGCCGTGGACCCTTCCGGAAGTCGTCCCATTTCCGCCGCACGAGCCAATGATAATGCAGAAATGATTGACAGCGAAAACAACAACAACAACAGCAATAGTAATAATAATAATAACAACAACATCAACAACAACAACAATAGTAATAATAGCAACAACAACGACAACAAAAACATCAACGTTGATAGCAAAAACAATGTCAGTAACATCCAAAATAGCAATGTTGATAACATTGACAACATCAGCAACAACAACAACAACAACAACAATAATAATAATAATAATAACAACAACAACATTGTTAACACTACCACCAGCAGCAGCGTTAATGCCAGCAACGCCAAGAAACAACTGAAACTTGATCTTATCTCAAACAACAACAACAACAACAATACAAAAAACAACATAAGTAAAAAAATATCTTTAAAAAACAACACGGAATACAATAACAACAACAACAACAATAATAACAACAATAACCTCAATACGGTCAACAAAAAATCATCATCAGCCTCGCAAAAACCATCAACAACAACACCACCACTAACAACAACATTAATGTTTGCATCAACAACAACAACATCCTACTCATCGTCATCAATAATGACGTCACCGCCAACCACAAACAGCGACAAGCCACCACCACTATCTTGCACGTGCCACGCCTTGGTCACGTGCGATGATGATGAAATCAAAATGGCGGACGTTGACGTCACTAATGACGTAAGCAACGAACAACATCAACAACAGTATGTTGTTAATGTTCATGTCAATTCTGGGGAGACTTTTTCAGTCTGTGTCAGTGAGCAAGTTCAGCTGATCCAAGGTTGTTGTTGGTGCCCTTTTTTTATATTGTTTTTGTTGTTGTTGTTGTTTTTGTTGTTGCTGCTTATATTGTTGTTGTTTATGCTGTTGTTGTTTGTTTGATTTTCTGTTGTTTTTTTGTGTGATAACGTTCTAAGAAATTGACTCATTCAAAAAAAAATCAAAAATATTTAAAAAAGTTCTCTTTTTGAAAATTATTGCTGAAGAAAAATTTGTATGATCGGGATTAACTCTATTCGTCGTTATCATCATCATCACCATCGTCATCATCACCATCATCGTCATCATCATCGCCATCATCGTCATCATCCTCATTGTCAACGTATCAAGTTATCAAGTTATCAGCATATACAGACCATTACGCGAAAGAAACCACTGTCAATTTTGTAAGGAACTCGTTCTTATTTTTTCTTGAAATTTTACTTAACCAATTTGATCTGATGATTCAATAGACGGACAGGACTAAGCAGAAAGGAAGCACTTAGCACACACACAGAATAGAAAAACCTTAAAGTTTACCTATAGAAGAGCTGATGATGACTAAAATCGAAATATGGCCAACACGTTTCATCATGAACACCAGCGATTTTCTTATTAATCTCGATAAAATTGATAATAATTATAAAATCACTGTTAGATATACGGAAAAGCTTAACCTTAAACTTTCAAAAGATAAAAATTTGATAGATTTCACCAAATTTTGCATCAATTATGGTCTTCCAGCCATATATGTATATACAAACTTATGAACTTGTATAGCATTGAACTAGCATTCGTGCATTTTGATAAGTAACATATCGTTAGTAATTGTTAATATAAATATATGCAATATACGTATGTATGCATGCATGCATGCATGCATATATGTATGTATGTATGTTTGTTTGTTTGTATGTATGTATATGTATGTATGTACGCATGTATGTATGGGATATAACCATAAAAGATGGATCAATAGCGCATAAGCTAGTTTATTATTACTATTAGGACTACGTAAGTTGGTTATTGTTGTTGTTGTTTTTAGTTTATTATGGATACTATAAATAATAATAGTAATAAGAATAACAATAAATAATTATGAATTATAATAATAGTTATAAATAATTAAAGGAGTGATAATAATAACTTAGTTATAATTTAAAATATTAATTTAATTAATTGAATGGATTCACAAATATACAGTACACACATACACTAGTATACAAATAATTAGAACGATGCAATGATGCTAGCTGATCAAACAATTTCTCGTATGCACATATTTAATTTTAAATAAAATTTTTATTTGGCAATTTCTTAATTCTTAATTAATTAAATATGTGACAAATGAATACTTAGTTATACTTACAATTAGCTGTATTAAATATTTTCAAAATACTACTGCTACTACTTCTGCTGCTACTACTACTACTGCTGCTGCTACTACTACTACTACTACTACTACTACTACTACTACTACTACTACTACTACTACAACTATTACTACTATTATTTATATTGTCACCAGATTCGCTATAACTGCTACTGAAACTACTATAACTAATACTGCTATGGATATTACAGCTACTACTACTACTACTACTACTACTACTACTGCTGCTGCTGCTGTTGTCGGTACTACTCCTACTTCTACTAGATTTTGTGGTTAAAAAGAAGAAAAATAATTTGCGTTTCGTCAAATTTGAATAAATGCAAATGTTTTGACTTTATTATTATTAGTTGTTTATTATTATTATTAACAGTTTATTATTATTACTATTATTATTTATTATTATTATTATTATTATTATTATTATCGTTACTATCATTACTATGATTAGTGTTATGCTAATAAATAAATTAATAATCGATATCTCATTTAACCACGCGTCAGAAAATAACGCAATGATGTAGATAAAATTAGAACGGACATACAAAAAAACAAACAAACAAACAAACGTACAAACATACAAACAAACAAACATACATAAAAACATACATACATATAAACAAGCATACATACAAACATACATACATACAAACGTTCACATACATACGTACGTACACATATAATACAACCTATTTAATGTGTACACTATGTATATCATAATTACTTTAAGTACTTGTAAAAGTTTTATATTCCTTATAGCGATAAAGATACATGTTTACTTGATAGAAGTACACTATCCAGTAAAACTATAACATGAAGGAGTTAATAATATAACACTATAATGAAACATTTTTAAAGTACCACTCTAAATGCTAATACCATATTTAACAATACCTCTGGTATAGATAGTTGCTTGAGACAGTACCACTAAGTAATATTACTCAAGCCATAATTTACTGTACCTATAAATAACATATAATGTGTACTATATTCATCGAGGAACAAGATACTAGTAATAATAATAGTAATAATAATAATAATAATAATTATAGCAATAATAATAATAATAATTATCACAGTAATAATAATAATAATATATGTAGTATCGCTGACAGCTCTGGCATTCTAGAAGGTTTGTTTTTATTTATAGATTACTACTTGCCTGTAATTATAATGTAATTATGATTATAATTAATATTATTATTTATATCGTTATTATTGTTGAAATTATTATTATTTTTGTTGTTGTCGTTTTTATTCTCAACTATTGTACGTAATAATTACATAATTGCTAAGATTATGTTTATAATAATAATAATAATAATAATAATAATTATTATTATTATTCATCTTCTTCTTCCCATATTATTATTTTTATTATTATTATTATTATTATTCGTATTATTATTATTATGAGAATTTTTTACAACCGAATTCATGTTAACGATTACGACGAAAAACTTAATGTGTTAATACACTACACACGCCACACACACACGCACACACCACACACGCACACACACATATATATATATACACATACACACATAAACATTTACGCATAAACATATACATACAACACACACGTATAAAAATACAATACAAATACAGTCAAATGCATCTAGATATAATGGGAAGTTGATGTTGTTGACGACAAACTTTATGTTCAGTTGACACACACACACACACACGCACAAACACACATAAACAGACATACACACACACACACACGCACAAACACACATAAACAGACATACACACACACACACAAACACACACATACACAAACACAAACATGAAAATTTAAACCGTATCTTTGTATTTTTATATTGACGACATCTTTTCAATGTATTGTTTGAAACGCATAACAGAATATCCAGTCTAGAAGTGAAAATAATAATTCAAAAAAAAAATAATAAAATAAAAATAATAATAACGATAATAATCTTAGAAATAATTATAATTAAAATGTAATTTAGAAAAATTATCTTTTCAGCTTAATCACGTCAAGTAGCTTAGTAAGAGATGATGTGGCAGACGATAAAGAATTTTGTGTGGAGTTTTTACTCTAAGTATGCCCGTGCGTGTTTTACCGTAGATAAACTTTTGATGTTGTTGATGTTGTTTTTGTTGTTGATGTTGGTGGTGGTGATATTGTTGTTGATGTTGTTGTTGTTTATGTTGGTGGTGTTGTTGATGTTGTTGTTGTTTATGTTGGTGATGGTGTTGTTGTTGTTGATGTTGGTGTTGTTGGTGTTGTTGTTGTTGATGTTGTTGTTGTTATTTTTACTATATGACGTTGCTGGCGAAGATTTTTGTCATTGTTATCTGTTCTTAATAAATCCTATGTCTAAAAATTATGCTGATCTTGTGTGTGTGTGTGTGTGTGTGTGTGTGTGTGTGTGTGTGTGTGTGTGTGTGTGTGTTGACAAATTGACAAATCAGATTATGATAATGATGCTGACAAAATTAGATAAGAATAATAATGATGATGATGATGGTGACGATAACGATGATGATGATGATGACGGGGATGATGATGATGATGATGATGACAGGATGCTAATGACAAAATCGTTAACTCTATCATTAAGAACGATTATAATGTTTACGATAGGTGATGACGATGATGATGACGATGACGACGATGATGATGGCAAAGAGAAAATGTAAAGATAAATGTAAACAATGATCTGCTAAGCGCATGAGCGTATCATTAACTGAAAACACGCACACACGCACACACATACATACACACATACACACACACATACACACACACATACACACACACATACACACACACATACACACACACATACATCACACACACACACACACATACATACATACATACACACACACACATATACATACGCACACTCACACACACACGTACGTACATACATACAATATTATCCTTTAAAGACAGAACTTTTCGTAATTAAACATTTTTTCAGTTTTCTATTTAAAAAGATACAAAGAGTTACATTCTTTAATTTCTTCTGGAATTCTTTCCCATATTCATGGACAGGTGTGTTTCAGACTCACCCAGAGTGTATGTGTGTGTGAGAGAGAGTACATACACACATACACACACACACACACACACACACACTACACACGCATACACACACACACAAATGCGTGTATCTAGGCTAGAATTCATCTTTTGGATATATTTTATCTTGGTTATTATTCCCATTTTGTTGCTATGGTTGTTGTTGTTATTGCTGTAATAATTGTAATTATTTTTAATAGTATTAGAAGTAATTACCGTAATCAATATGAATACATTAATCACGTGATGTAATAATAACAATAATAATAATAATAATAACAAAACCGCAAAAGATAAAAATACATCTTTCGAATGAGTCATACACCAGTTAAGTTGTCCATTAATAAATTCAAAAGGGAGATGTTGATGTTGTTGTTGATGTTGATGTTGTTGTTGTTATTGTTGTTGATGATGATGTTGTTGTTATTGTTGTTGACGTTAATGCTGTTGATGTTAGAGTTCTTGTTGTCGTTGTTGTGTTTGTCTTTGTTGTTGTTGATATTGTTGTTGATGTTGTTGTTGATGTTGCTGTTGTCGTTGATGTTGTTGAAGATGATGTTGTTGTTATTGTGGTTAGTATTTTTGCTGCACAATTTTTATGTTTATGCAATTTAGATGACTACTTTATATGCAATGTTTTCATCATTCATCCTAGTTTCATTTGATCTATTCTTCTTTTGCACGCACACACACACACACACACACACACACACACACACACACACACACACACACACACCCT